TTGGTGTTGTTTTGATTTGTTTTGATAGTCCTGAGAGCTTTCTTGTTTAGAAAGGAGGAGGGCAGTATGTGGAAGGGCTGTGTGCACCTTGATTTTTCTCTTTTTACAGGATTCTCATTTTCCTTTCTTGCTCCCTTTTGCCTTCATTGGACATTTCTAAAGGATGCCGCTACCTTTCCTTTTACCCCTTTCTCACCTGTGTCATTACTATTTCAAAGTTGTTTTCTCGCTTCCACACTGTTCCAAGTAACCCCCGCCCCGCCCCACCCCACCCCAGCTGTCATAGTCAGTGCTGCCATCAGCCCCACAGCACAGGTGTGTGGCTTCCTCGCTTACATGGATTCTCTCCCTGGAAGTGGTTTTAGAACAATTTTAAGCCTCCTTCTCGCTCCACTGTTCTCTCTTTCATGAACTTTTCCCAAAACCTCAGTGCTCTCACAAAGCTTTGCAGCAGGGATGTGGAAACTGGTTCACTGCCACTAAATGTTTGCTTTTCTATTTTCAGTCATTTTTAAACTTTGGATGCATTTGCAATGAATTCCTTTTTTATTTTTGGCCTTGGCATTCACTTTGAATAGAAGTTTAATTTTCTCACTCCAGAAGCAGGGCTCAGTCACTCCTGCTTGACACAGTTTCTAGTCATTCTCCTCCCGCCAGTGTCTCAAAATGGTCAGTCCAGATATCTGCCATAAACAACCACCTCCCAGTGACCACCCACTACGAGCCAGCCAAACACAACCTACTTTCCTTAACCCACTGACCCCCCACCCCACACCCTGCATGGGCCAGAAGCATATGCTGCAGTGACCCAGCAACCACTTCTAGTACAGGGCGACCCCACAGCACTTGTGCCTTCTTGCCCTAAACTCACTGATCAGAACTCCCCATGGAAAAGCTGCTTGGGTCATGCTCTGGACCCAAACAAAGGCCTCGGTCCATCAGTTCTCACTCTCTCTTGCTCCCCTACCTGCTGGTGGAGCCAGTGTGTTTCAGGTAGTTCCCCCTTCCTACCACCCCTGCGAGGTATGCTGCCCTCTTTTCTCTGGGACCTGTAAGTAACAAATCTGCCATTTCGTGTGTTTTTTCTGTGGCCTCCTCTGTCCCTCACCTGACAGGCACACTTGAGCCTCACCTTTTCCAGCTAGGGCTCTCTCAGAGACTGGCTCTCTTTGTAGGAATAAACTAGACACACACCAGACAACGGCCACAAGGGATTCTGCTGGTGTAGTCAGGTTTCTTGCGAGAGAGACATCTGGTCACAGCTCGGACACTTAGGCATTAAGCCTGAGGGCCGGATGAAAACGCATCCCATGAAGGGCATCCTCCACCAGCCCCCGGAAGCCCCATCAGGGCAGTGCTAGACTTCATAGCCACCCTTGTTAGAGAGACCTCAAGACCGAATTGGAGGGCAGGTGCGGTAGTTCATGCCTGTAATCCCAGCACTTTGTGAGGCTGAGATGAGTGGATCACTTGAGGTCAGAAGTTCGAAAGCAGCCTGACCAACATGTTGAAACCCCACCTGCACTAAAAATACAAAAATTAGCTGGCTGTCGTGGCACACACCTGTAATCCCAGGTATTCAGGAGGCTGAGGCAGGGGATTCATCTGAACCTGGGAGATGAAGGTTGCAATGAACTTATATCACCCCCTGCACTCCAGCCTGGGTGACAGAGCAAGGCTCCATCTCAAAAAAAAAAAAAAAAAGACCAAACCAGAGCAAAATACAAAGCTCTCTGTTTTCTAGTCACACTGAAAGCAAATTTCGTTTTTTGGATTTGTTTCTTGTTTTGCTCTCTTGAAAATATTTTAGATGTTGCAGGTTTCCTTTAATCTCATTTTAAAAATCATACAAACATTATGCCCTATCCAATTGTGATTTGATCCTGGAAAAAATACAGGGAGGTTATATTAGAAGAGCTTTGTAAGTTAAAAACCAATGAGATCATTCAAAGCTGTCTTAGATCTGTAGCCCTCTCCCCTGTTGGTAAGTCTTCAGGGGACCACTGAAAAAAGACAGGAAATTCCTTCAGAAACTTCCCCAGTCTCTCCCCATGGAAACACCATGCTTAGCAGAATATCCTAGTCACATGTACGATGGCCTGTGCAAGTGGCCAGACCAGGAAACAATGTAACGGTAGGCTTGTCACATCACTTTAAGATCTTGTTACAGAATAATCTAAATGAAGATCAGATCCGCCACTCATGCCTCACCTGTCGTTGCGCTCCAGGGCTGCTTTTAAGGCTTTCACGAGCATCCTCAGCTCTTCCCTGGCGAGATCCACATCTGCCGTCTTCACTGGCCTCTGCTCCAGCCCCTTGAGTTGAGCCAGAAAAGCCTAGGTGAGACAAGCACATGGGGAGGAGGGGAGGACTCCCTTTCTTATTTGTCATTAATGCGTTTTCAAGGTGCCCTGGGTTAATGTATACATTCTAGTTAAAATAGGTAAACCGGGAGGATTGAAGGGAGGAATGGCTGTTGGGGGAGGGATGGCCAATTGGTGACGTTCCAAGTAAAATACATTTATCAGTATGTTAAGAGTTAATTTTTCTAAGAAATGGAAAGATGGTAGTGAACTCCCCTGTTGGCATGTATTGGCATGAACTCCCCTGTTGGCATCTGGGTGAAGTCCTGGAGGCACATTGTCAGTGGCACCGAAATCATTTCTTCTACAGGAATAAGAAGCCAAATGAATGCGATTGCCATCCGCAGATATAAAGCAGTGCCGTGCTCAAATGGGAAGCCACAGAGATCTCGGCCTCATCAGAGGACGGGCTGCTAGGGTCACAGACACAGAAAGAGGCATCCAGGGCCCTGCTGGCCTGGGAATTTCTTCATGCTCACGTTTGACCGAGATAGGTGCATATGTCACTTTCTCACTCCCTCACAACCTAAGGAGCAAGGTAGATTCCCCACTGGAAGCTTCGCTCACACTCTTGTAAAGACAAAGGCTGCCTCGTGTCATGGAAAGGTTCTGTGCAAAGAAAATGGTGCTCGCGTCCGATTTTAGATGAAGGAGCGAATCAGAAGTCATCTCCTTGTAATGCTGTGATTTGTTTTTTCATATACAAAAGAAGCAACTGTCTTTCCTAATTCATGAAGTAAAATTAATCTTTAAAGTTTATTGAATTCAAAATGCCAAAGTTATCTTTGCTACAGTGTTCGATCTTCTTAGGTTTTGTAAGTGATAAAGTTATCCCTGTGGTATATTTTCTAATTCGACCAATCACATGTTTAACCCAGCCCTCGAGAGAACACCTGGAATGCTGTCACCCATTAAAAGAAGAGATCGTGGGGTTTTGAGCCAGCTTACAGCACACTAGCCACCACAATGCATTCTCAGAGTTTTCGCCAGGGTGAGGACTGGACAATGGTTTTTGGTACTTACTGGCAGAGAGCAATTTATATTCCCAATTTATACATATATAGTTATGTCGCTTGTTTGCGAGTATAAAGAATGCTATGCCAATCCAAAGTGACGTTCTTTATCAATAATGTTCTTAAGGCAGTATAAGCTCGCTTATAATAAAAAAATCAGCTAGTCTAAATTATGGGGCACACATGGGGCTTGTGGGATTCAGGAAGGTTTCCACTGCTCGTGAAATATGAAGCCATGAAGAAGCAGGCTCCATTCAGACTCTTCACAATCGATTGTCACCTCATACTGTGCTGGGGGCTGGGACTCCAGGAGTGTCGCCACGTAGAGTTCATATTCATCCTGTACAGAAACAAACAAAAAGTCCACTGGGCATGCGTGGGGAGGCCACAGTGCAAGCGTTTCGTGTGTATAAATAATACGGAAGTAAAGAATGTTCATTTACATCATCTCAAAAAAATATAAAATGTTCCTACAATGCGTTAAATGGCATACATGTTCACATTTATAAAATCACACCATCTTTGAAGCGTATTTGAGCATTAAGTACTAATTACCCCAGAATATCATAAAATATCATACAACAAAATATAAAATATTGATCACTTCAGAATGTCATGAAACACCTTGACACACGTACAACAAATGATGTCCCGCCATGTGGAAGGTCTGTGGAATCCGGTCCTACCGGCCTGCCAGGACGAGCCTCCAGGTGATGAGGCATCGCTGGAAAACAGGCCACCAGGTCTCCGTTGTTAGGCATTCCTTGTCATTAGTAAAAGTAAAGAATAGCGTAAGCTTTAAGCAACATGATCTCAGCTCAGATTCTATATGAAGGTCACTTTCTTTTTTTTTTTATTTGCAGCCTCCACCTCCTGGGTTCAAGGGACTCTCCTGCCTCAGCCTCTGGGTAGCTGGGATTACAGGCACACACCACCATGCCTGGCTAATTTTTGTATTTTTAGAAGAGATGGGGTTTCACCATGTTGGCCAGGCTGATCTTGAACAGCTGACCTCAAGTGATCCACCTGCCTCAACCTCTCAAAGTGCTGGGATTACAGGCGTGAGCCACTGCACCCAAAGGTCACTTTCATCATGAAATTGCAACAAACCTATAATTCCATAAGGATTTATATAAAATTACACATGTAATGTTAAAATAACTAATTATTAATTTATTTGAATTATAATTTAACATAAAAAGTTTGTCACTTATGTATAATTTATATAAGGTTGTGTATAATCAGGAAGTTTTAGTGGGAAAATATGGGCTTAGGAAGTGAGCTAACTGTGTTGATTCCCATGGCCCCTGTGCAATTTACGTGCCTGCAGGACTGACCTCGAGTCTCTGTGAATGATGGTCCCCATCTGCAGAAGGGGGCCCGTGATAGCTAACAGATTTTCTGTGAGGCTTGAGATCATTCATGTACACGGAACCTCATGCAGGTTTCTCAATTGTTACGCTGGAGACATGTGTTTCTCACCTTAACTTCTTTCAAGAGCTCACCAAATATCAAAGAATTCTTACAAATATCTTCAAAGGCTTTTCCAAAGATGTGCAGTCTGTTGAACTGCTGAGGGCTGCACGTGCACGTTTTCTGGAGCTCCTGGAGGAAAAACAGAGTCAGTATTTTAGGACACCTTCATTTTTCTTCCAGAACCGAGTTTCTCAGGAGTCAGGGAGGACACAGCAGCTATCACCCTGGTGACTGGACAGGGTGGCACAGGGGGATGATACCCAGGAGTTCTGATCCCTCCCACCAGCTGCTGAGCTTCTGTGCTTCCCTGGTCACCCAAGAATTGGGATTTTTAAAACCCTTCTTCTTTATTCACTCTCTTGCTCCCTGTCCTCAAGGGTCCAATCTCTGCCTCCCAGTCCCCCAAGGCCTTTTCTCTCTTCCAACCCTGAGGTCTGGCTGCTTCCTGGGAACCTGCTATTTCCTTCTCCCTTGTGCATCCTCTCCATTGGGAGGTGGACGGCCTCCCATCAGCAGTTCTCCTGAGTCAGCAGCCCATCCTAGATCTTCCCCTCGCGCCAGCACCTTCTGTAGACACATGCTGCCTGGGCATACTGAAGGGCGTGACACTGCCCATCAGCTCTCCGTCTCCCCTCACTGCTCTTCCACCGTCAGGCAGCAAGCCCTCTCTCAGACTCCTTGGCTGACCCACGATCATCTGATTTACTGTTGCAGCCACATGGCCTCCAATGTGTCTGTGATGGGCCTCCGCCAGCTTACCAGTTCCCAGACGGCTTTCTCCTCCATTTTACCCAATCTGTCCCCGCCGAAGGTGCTAATGCTTCAGCACCTGGGGCAGTGACGCACTATACCTGGACGTGGCAGGGAAGCCTCAGAGGATGAGCCTGTCCCTGCACCAAGGGTGCCGCACCGAGGGCGCCGCACCGAGAGCGCCGAACAGAGAGCACCGCACCGAGAGCACTGCACCAAGAGCACCGCACCAAGAGCACTGCACCAAGAGCACCGCACCGAGAGCACTGCACCAAGAGCACCGCACCGAGAGCACTGCACCAAGAGCACCGCACCGAGAGCACCACAGGGCTGCCACACTCAACTGCTGCAGCTTTCTCTCATGGCCCTTGGCCACCTTGCTCCCAGTGAAGTCATTTTCCAGGAGATCTTGCTTGGCAAGCACTTCCTTCTGGAAACTCAGGAACATCCTGTAGCTGTTGGCCTTGGTGACCGCAGCCAGGCAGGAGCTGACATAGCGGTGCTGGTCCCTGGTGCCTCTGAGCCCGGCCTCCTGGCATTGCGGCACCTCCATGTGGGGCAGCCGGAGTTCTTCCCTCCTGCGCCATCCAGGTGGGCCTCTGTGCATCTTCTCCTTCCCTTCTCCAGGAGCCTCCATTGGAAGGAGATCCTCCTCTGAAGTGTGGGAAAGAGAGGCCTGGGGGTTCAGGTACCTGAACAGTGAGATGTCCTGGGCATCGCTGGGGATCAGTGCCATGTGTATGGGGAAGAGGGCCAGGGCCTCCTTCATCCTCGCCACCTGTCCTGCAGCTGGCTCTCCCACCCCAGAGACACGCTGCTCCTGGGGCTGGTTGGCATTGGGCCAGTGCTGTAAGGCCATCTCAGGAGGCCGGTAGAGCTCGTTGGGGTTCAGGTGTCCAGAGATGTACAGGTAGACATCCTCCCAGTTGTCTTTCTGAAGCTGGTTCAGACGTTGCTTCAGATTGCACAGGGTCTTCATGCCTGGCGTCTCACAGTGCTTCCACTTCGGGTAAACTGGCCAGAAAAGAAAAGGAGGCTTTTAGGGGTGCTCTTAGCTCACAGTAAGTCAGCAGGTGCACTGGCTGAGAGGTCTAGCCCCTGCCCAAATAGAGGGTCTACAGAGAAACCGATGAACAGAGTACATGGCCCAGTCCTTAAAAGTCAAAGACGGCTGTGGTGGTTCATGCCTGTAATCCCAGCACTTTGGGAAGCCAAGGCGGTAGATCACCTGAGGTCAGGAGTTCAAGACCAGCGTGGCCAACATGGCGAAACCCCATCTCTACTAAAAACACAAAATAAGCTGGGTGTGGTGGCGCATGACTGTCATTCCAGCTCATCGGGGGGCTGAGGCAGGAGAATCAATTGAACCCAGGAGGCAGAAGTTGTGATAAGCTGAGATCGGGCCACTGTCCTCCAGCTTGGGTGACAGAGTGAGACTCCATCTAAGAAAAAGAAGTCAAAGACACCCATGCCAGGTGTGATATGCTGCTGCAGAGGAGAGGCGGACAGGCCCCCAGATGTGCAAGCCAGTCAGACAGCTCAGGGCCCTCAAAGCCGATAAGAGAAAGACAGATCTTCATTTGGGAGAGTATTTCTTACAATATTAGCAAAAGCTCTGAAAGAAAAGTGCAAAATCTTAATTATAATTCTTAATGATGATGCTTAAAGACGTCTTTAATGTACTTCACATGCCAGGAATACAGACAGGGTTTGGGGGGGTGTTCTCCCTTAATGCTGAAGCGTCTCAGGGGTCCCTGATGAAACCCCTCAATGACCACTGGGCCACTCACCCCTTCCTGCACCCTCCCCACAGAGCCAACCCCGAGGACATACTGAACCACAGCTGCTTCCTCTGCAACATCAGAATCATCAGCTCATATAAATGGTTGACTGACACTCGGATGGAATCACTTTTGGCAAAGGGGACCATGGCCCAGAAGAGACACTCCATAAATTCAACCCATTTTTGCTGTAGGTCTATAGTGCGGACAGAACTCTCAGCAGAGGGATGCTGGACAATCACCCATGATGATCAACTTAGTTCTTCAGAGAAACCACTCATGAAATGCTTCATAGAACAAATTCTCCAAGACAGCAATCATTGTAATTCATCCAAGGCATGAACACCTCAAGCTCTGAAAGTCATCTTGTACCAACTCCATGAAAGATGAAAGAAGGAGGCAAACACACTGCTGCTGTGTCATCCTTTGTCACTGAACACTTCAGATGGAACAAGAGCAGCCTAGAATTGTCCCTTCATTTGCTGTTTCCAACCCAAGAAGGAGAGTTTCTTTCTGGGACACTGTGTACTGTGATGGCCAACGGACAGCTGGCCCATCCATACCCTCCTCAGAGAGCCTTGCTCCATCCAGCGCAAAGCAAACCATCCTTCCCCGAGTCAACCGAGGCAGCCGAACACTAGAGCCAATGCCCTCAGCAGAGGGATGCCAGAGAATCGCCCTGAGGGCCAGGCACAGGGGCTCACACCAGGCAGAGGGGCTCACACCAGGCACAGGGGCTCACACCAGACGCAGGGGCTCACACCTATAATCCCAGCACTTTGGGAGACCGAGGTGGGTGGATCACAAGGTTAAGAGATTGAGACCCCAAGACCATCCTGGCCAACATGATGAAACCCCATCTCTGGGAAAAAAAAAAAAGAAGAGAGAATTGAATCATCCTGTGGATCACCTTAGTCCTTCAGAGCAGCCACTTAGGAAATGATTTAATAGAACAAATTCTCCAAGACAACAATTATTGTCATTCATAAACAGCAATTCATAAATTATTTTAATACATAAAAACTAACTCCATGGAAGATGGATGAAGGAGTCACCTTCATTGCTGCTGTGTTATCCTTTATTTTATTTCCAAGAAGGATTTGAAACCACCAGCAAGTCAATTGGTACAATCATTTCCCCACTTCAAATGCTTTTTCTTTCTATTGTAATAAGACCTGCTCCAGATTCCACGTCTGTCTGCCATGTTCTTATAATATATGCCACGAATCCCCATCGTGAAAATAAATATTTTAATTACTTTCCTATCTGAAAACATTCTTGGTGTGTGTGTGTGTGTGTGTGTGTGTGTGTGTATCCTGCCATCTCAAAGAAAGAAAACAAACAAAAAATGAAAGTTTTAAGAATTTATTAGAAAATGTGATTATTTTACAAATGGTCTGCAAACAAATTTGCTTTAAGTAAAACCAAATCAACTTTTGAATGTGTATTGAATAGGAAGATGTAGTAATAGGTCTTTAGAATAGTTTGGAATAAATATTGCCAAATGTCAGTATTAAAGTTTTTTGTTTGAGCTGGAGTCTCGCTCTGTCGCCCAGGCTGGAGTGAAGTGCAGTGGTGTGATCTCTGCTCACTGCAACCTCTGCCTCCTGGGTTCAAGCAATTCTCCTGCCTCAGACTCCGCTACCACACCCGGCTACTTTTTGTATTTTTAGTAGAGACAGGGTTTCACCATGTTGGCCAATAGGTCTTTAATTTCAAAATTATTACAAATCAGGCCAGGTGCTGTGGCTCACGCCTGTAATCCCAGCACTGGGAAGCCGAGGCGGATGGATCACTTGAAGTCAGGAATTTGAGACCAGCCTGGCCAATCTGGCAGAACCTCTTCTCTACTAAAAATACCGAAATTAGCCAGGCATGTTGGTGGGCGCCTGTAATCCCAGCTACTGAGAGACTCAGGCACCAGAATCGCTTGAACCTGGGAAGTGGAGGTTGCAGTGAGCGAAATAGCACCATTGCACTTTCACCTAGACGACAGAGTGAGACTCCGCCTAAAAAAAAAATTACAATCACTCTCCCATGTTATCTGATCTGTGGGAAATTAAGAATCCCACAGAGGGCCGGGTGCGGTGGCTCACGCCTGTAATCCCAGCACTTTGGGAGGCTGAGGCGGGTGGATCACGAGGTCAAGAGATCGAGACCATCCTGGTCAACATGGTGAAACCCCATCTCTATTAAAAATACAAAAAATTAGCTGGGCATGGTGGCGCGTGCCTGTAATCCCAGCTACTCAGGAGGCTGAGGCAGGAGAATTGCCTGAACCCAGGAGGCGGAGGTTGCGGTGAGCAGAGTTCACGCCATTGCACTCCAGCCTGGGTAACAAGAGAGAAACTCCATCTCAAAAAAAAAAAAAAAAAAAAAGAGTCCCACAGAAATTCTCCATGGTCTCATTCTAGAACATTCATATTCCCTCTGTGTTTCTGCCCTCTGCCTCCTCTGCCCCCACCCTAAAGTCAGTACACATCCTAGAAAATGAATTCCTGGAAAGATCTGAGAACAGAGCAGCAGGCCCAGACCCACAGGCCCTCTGCCTGGGGGCCGGTGTGGCCAGGAGGAGCCAGGGAGGCTGGGGACAGGCCTGGCCAATGGGGACCTGTCCTGGAGTCCTGGGTTCCCCTCTGAGAATCCTTGCAGAACTCACAGAGAGCGTCCGTCATCCCCTGTGTCCATCCTACCCACTGGAGAATCTTTTCAAACCCCACTGAGATTGCAATATGGCCTTTCCTGAACCCGCAAATAAACATCTGTTGTCTGCCCCACACTGCGATTGAGGGTGGGATGAATGTGAGCCCCCAGGAACCTGGAAATTTCATAGGGAGTGAGATACAGACCCCGGGCTGGAGGGACCTGAGCCCAGAGGAGGAGCGCAGGCCTCATGTGGACTCTATCTCAGGGTGAAATGTGGAAGTGGAATGATGGGCCCCAGAGCTATGCACCCTGATGCCAGACCAGGGCAAGAGGTCTTTACAGGTTTAATTCGGGTCATGGGCCTTAAAATAAAGAGATGACTCTGGATGGTCAAGGCTCTAATCTAATTACATGAGCCCCTAAAAGCAGAGACTTTCCCTGGCAAGAGTCAGAAGAGAGTGGAAGAAAGGGGGTCAGGGAGGTTGCAAGGAGAGGAAGCTTCTAGGCTCACTGGATCCCGGGTGTAAGCCACAGGCCAGATGGAAGAAGGCTTCTTAGAGCCAGGACCCCTCCTGACCAACCGCAAATCCCCGCCACAAGGACAGGGTCAAGCCAGCAAGTGCACTGGGCCTGGAAGAGGCTCTTCCCCAGAGCCCCTACAAAGCAGCAGAGCTGACCTTCCCATTGAGTCCAGCCTGGTGAGAGCCTCAGCTCTCTGTATACAAAGAAGAAAAAGACAACTCCCCAAGGACTGAAAGATCCCTTTTCAAAATAATTCCCACTGTCTGTGTCACAGCAAATGTGTGGGATACTGATTCAATCTGCACAGCAGCCTGGGAGGTAGGCACCGTCCCCGCCTCCCTTACAGGTGAGGACACTGAGGCCGACGCTCTCAACCTGCCCACTCACCTGCACACAAAGAGCACTAAATGCATTCTGACATCATCCAATAAAATTTCTTTTAAATCAGGAATTTAAAATTTTTCTTGATTGAAAATTTCTTTTAAATCAAGTAGAGACTGCTTTGCTCAGTCCAGCAAGCTTTCTCCCTGCCCAAATTTTGTCTGAAGCAGTCAGTAATCCTGTTTTAGCGCCAGCACAGGGCGGGTGGTGGGAAAAGCAAAAGCTTTGAAGTCAAAAGATCTGGGCTGACCTCCCCACAGACTCTCCCTCGTAAAGTCACATTAATAGCCACAGCTTTCAGGGCCACGGAGACTAAATAAAGTCAGAGATGGCAAAGCACTTCTGACTTGGTGCCTGTGGACGCGCTGAGCTTTGTGGTCATTTAGAGTGTGGAAGGGCAGCATGCCGGGAAATGCTCTGAAGTGTGACTTTTTAAGATCACACTGTGAGCTAACAGCCTGAAATCTGCTGCTCCGTCCCTCCTCCTCCTCAGGTGTCCAGAGAATCCAACACACTGTGCATCCCTGCAGGTCCACACTGGCTGGCTGACACACCCACATGGCACTCACCCCCGACCTTTGTACTTTGCATGCTGGTTTAAGATTCTCTGAGAAGGCGGCACAACCCCAATCTAATCCTCATCCCTCGTGACCCTGGAGCCGGTGTGCAGCCACCAGAAAAAGATTTTCACATTTCAAACCAGTCTTCAGAAGCCCCTCCCTCCAGGACAGAACATGAAGCAAATCTCACAAGCCAGCAGGAGCCGCTCCAGGCCACTTACATAAAGCTTCTGCCCCTGGGCCATCGCTTTCTTCCCTCCAGCTGCCCTGGCTGGGCTGTCGCCATGGAAACCACAAACATTCTAAGCCCTCCTTGGCTCCCTCACTGCAGAGCAACCAGGCACAGCCCCTGCTGTGGAACCTCCCTCCAGCCGCTCCCCTGTCCTGTGCCTCCAGCCTTACTGAACAAGGAGTATTGGTGTTTGCTTGCTCGTTTTACGTTTAACAGTGAAACACCTTCTGTGATGTAAACAATGTCAGAGTGTCCTCGCACCCCCTGATTCCTCCCAAAGCCCAGAAGGTAAAAGACAGCTGCTCTTCAGGTATCTCCTACAGAAATGTGCAGATTGGACCCATCCAACTTTACCTGGAGATCCAGCACAGAGGAGGTGCTGGCCACTCATTTAGTCGCTTTTTATTATTATCTATGTATTTTCTAGTGGGGAACTGAGATCCCGAGGTCAGGTAGCAGGGAGTGGACTTTGCAGATGTGTAAGTGCACATCTGTGTGACTGCAAAGGCTGTCCCATGTGTCGAGGGAGGGGAAAGCTAGAACCCCTATCTTTGAAAACTGTAATTCTGTTTATATGTCTTGCAGTCAGAAACAGAGTAGTGGAAGGGCGATTCTACTGGCTCCTTAGAAGGAACTTTGACACCAACGCTCACTACTTTCAGCTCTGAAATGAGAAACAGTCATGTAGGCATTGTGGGTTGTGAGGATGGGATTACGTGGTTCTGTGAGTGACGCAGGGCACACAGTGCCTTTCTGTTGATGCTGCCTTTCTGTTGATGCTGCCTATTAGTTCAAACTGCACCGTTTTGTAAGCCCCGCACCATTCTGCAGGCCCCGGTCAAAGTGAAACATTCCACAGGGCTTCCGGCCACAAGAAACATCCTGCCCACCACCTGCTGTTTTTATCATATCCTGCAGGCAAAGTCCCAGCTGAGGGACATCCCCATCATATCCTGCTGGGCAAAGATCCAAGGAACACCCTATCACATGCCACCCAAAACAGGGACAAACCACCTCATCATGGAACTTCTCATCTACATATTCCTGGGCAGCAGGCCATGCCCCCGCCCAGGCCTATAATTGCCCCAGCCTGTAAGCAGCAGAGGGCACTGGCAGTAACCTGGTCGCCCATCTCTGCAGGTCTTATGCTGGACAGAGAATCTGAATGGCTGTAGAGTTGCCAATACTTTGCCTTTCTTTAACCCTCACCTTCCCTTCAAAACCAAACACTAGACACATACTTGAAACGTGAACCTTCTGGAAACCAAGAAGTTGCCAGGACCCTCACCCACTCAGGTGGCTCCATCACCAGGTGCACTGGAATTGCGCCTGTGAAAAGGTAACCGCAGGGCTTCCTGCTTGTCTCTCTGCAATGTGCTTGGTAGTTGGGCATCTTCACCACGACAGAAAGGTTGACACGAAGATGCCCCAGTTGCCTGAGGATGTCTAAGAGTGGGCACCAGAAGGAAACGCTGTGCCCTCACCTTCAGTTCCATATGAAGTGGGCTCGCAGGGGCCGCAGTCCAGGTTCTTAGACAAGCAACTGCTAGAGATGAAGAAACGAGTCTCTGTACTCAGAATCCCTTAGCAAATTACTGCATGTTATAAGTTCTAAAATGCCCATGGTTTCCACACTGTGCAGACAGGCAGAAAGGTGACAATAGGTGTTCTCCACTTTTCTTTCGCAGATGGGCAGGAGGGACAGAGGGCCCTCTGCAGGCCCTGGGAGAGACAGTGATGAGGAGCGAAGCCCCTGCCAGAGCTGCTCACCTCTGGGGTTCAGCCTCCGCTACCCTCACTGCTGCTCCTTGGCACAGACATGAACTTCACTCATTTTACTTGGAATCACAGAGTACGGGTTTAGATCAGAAGAAAACAGTTTTTTCAGGACCTCAGTTTCTCCCAAGTTGCCCCTTATGGCAGAACACAAATGTAGTTAAATGAATTCATCCAGTCCTTCCTTATATGCTAGCAAGCAGAAAGCCAGTGACCAAATCAATACCAGGCCTTAAAAGCCCACGTGTGGCTCTCCTATTGGCAGATATTTCATCAAAGCATTCGTGGCAGAAACACACTTAATCACGACGTTATCGGTGTCGTGAATTGATGTGCCAGAAACACACTGGCTCTCCCTGGAGGCCAGACGTCCATGTAGAAATGGCCAGGAACAGCTCAGCCGGCAAACTGCTCCTGCAGATGTTTCAATGACTATGGCTGCTTTTTGCTTATCCACTCTGGACAGCACTTGGACACATCCTAAAACACTGGGCCACTGAATGCGACCCGAGGGTGAGACCACCATTCTACCATCCCAACTCATCCGTGCATCCACCCGTCCTAACATCCTACCCCTCATTCCAGAGGAAAAAAGAATTAAAGATAAAAAAGCATTGTCTACTATTGTGTCTTTGCTAAGACTACAGAAATGCACAATTAATTCCCTACTTTAGGGAACGGAGAGGAGACAGCTGGGGAGTAAAATGCAGCGTGATGTGAGCAGCAGCGAAGAAGGGTGTGGAGCGGCAGAGGGAGGAGCGAAGGATTCTCATCTCATGGTCTGCAGAGGCTTCCAGGGAGACCACCTGTTCTAGGGGTGCAGGATGGGTGAGCGGCATTCCTTATCAATTATGGGGGTTGGGGGAGCATCGGTCAGAAGAACTGATGGGTTCCAGAACGGAAGAGGCCACAAATAAGTGATTCCACTTGCTGCTTTTCAGCTACTGGAATCCGCTCTGCAGAAACAAACCAACTTGCAGTAACTTTTGAAGCATCTTAGTGCTTCCTGAGCTCGGGAGAAACTGAATGATGCTTTTAAGAAATTTTAGATAAACTGCAAACCAAATGCTGGCCTGGCAGGAGGATGCGGGGTTGGGGGTGGGATGAGAATCCTGGGATGGGCAGGAGCAGAGTCAGGAGGGAGTTTCAGTTTGGCCCTGAAGATGGCTGAAGAGTCATCAAGAGTCTGTGAAAGTGTTCTACAGAGCGGGGTGTCACTGCTTTCTACTCTAGAGAGACAGCTGTGGCTGCACGTCGTAGAGGGTGGAGGGAATAGCACTAATAGCCAAGAATCACACCTCCAGCTCTAGGCACATAAGGAATGGTGGCTGGCAATGACGCCCCAAATTCTCCACCCTCCTCTTTGATGTGTCAGGGAAAAGCCTCTTACCCATTCAAGGCCAAAATGCTTGGCTCCTGGGCGCTCTTGCTTTCTCAAGGGCCCCGGTTCATTGGTCTGTTTTCTCTGTTTCTCTCTCTCTCTCTCTCTCTCTCTCTCTCTCTCTCTCTCTCTCTCTCTCTCTCTCTCTCTATCTCTCACATCATTCATCCTTGCTTTTCTATAGGAACATGCTTTTCTATCAGAAAAGTAACATGCTCATTTTTCTCATCTCAAAAACACATAAAAACGAGACTTTTGTGTTGACCCCACACCTGTCTAAGGCGGGTATTCCGCACAACAGATCCAGATCAAAGCCTGTCACAAGGAGGGAAGCCTGGCCCGCCTGCCAAGGAGGAGGAAGCTCGAAGCCCTCGCCCTGCCTGCGTTCTCTGTGAGGGGGTCTCCCACGGCACTGTTATCTGTCACAGGCGGGCTGTTTCTAGTTATCCAAAAGCTTCTCCTGTGAAGCCTGTGTTTTGCCCTAATGATACTTTTCTGTAATATAGCTTTATTTTTGAGTGGTATTTGAGGGCAAAATAACTGTCATCCCCTGAAAGTTTGAAAAATCCATGAAGAAATGGTACAGAAAGAACACATCTCTTGAGGGGCTCCCTAACATCCTGTCCCCACTCACCGCCTACCCAACAAGCCCCTTTCCTCCTTTGGAAAGTAAAACAAACCTTCATTCTAAGACATTTGTACAGAAAAGCTGCATTTCTTGGTCTGCAACATGCTGTTTATCACTCATCTCCACCTGCTTCCAAAGAGCCATTATTTTTTCAAGTGTGAAAATGATTTGGGCATCTTGGGTCAGGGCAGGAGACATCCTGATTCCCTCATTAAGTGAGAGGTAGGTGGGTAATGAAAATGTCCCCAGCACATCCCACGACCTCTGGCCACTCTCTTCAGAGACCACCCATCTGAGCATATGCTTATACGACTTCTCTCAGACAGCCTGGGTACACAAGAAAATTCCCTCCCATCATCTCTCTGTCCTTTCTCTTCCACGATGACCGTGTGCCACTCCCACTCCCTCCGCCTTGCCTTTTTCGTCTTGAAAACATATCTTTTTTTTGAGATGGAGTTTCATTCCTGCACAGGCTGGAGTGAAATGGCACTATCTCACCTCACTGCAACTTCCACCACCTGGGTTCAAATGATTCTCCTGTCTCAGCCTCCCAAGTAGCTGGTATAACAGGGGTGTGCCACCATGCCAGGCTAATTTTTGTATTTTAGTAGAGATGGGGTTTAACCATGTTGAGCAGGTTGGTCTTGAACTCCTAACCTCAGGTGATCCGCCCACTTTGGCCTCCCAGAGTGCGGGGATTACAAGCATGAGCCACCGCACCCGGCCGAAAACATTCTTGGAAATCATTCTGTTCCATTACGTAAAGAGCATGTGACTTTTTACGTGGCTGGGCAGTGTTCCATTGTATGGCTGTACTGTGATTTATTCCATCCAGAGAGGACCGATGGACATACACGCTGTTTCCATTCTTTTGCTATTAAATCCCACTGCTGGTCCTTGGGTCACTTCCTGTGTGTGTGAATCTGTGGGTGAACACAAAGCTTGAGTACCTGGGGTGGAATCGCCGAGTCTGTGCCCATGAGATGTTGAGAAAGAGCATCACATTGTTCTCCGAAGGGTGATTCCAGTTTACGCAGTCCCAGCAGTGATGAGAGTTCCTGCTTCTCCACCTCTTCACTACCAAACAGCGTTATCAAACACAACATCGCCACGCCTTCTGATCTTTGCCAATACAAGGTTTCCAACAAATGTCAGAGAGAAGGAAAATCTACAATGAAACTGAAGGAAGAAAACCCTAAGGTGTCATAAAAATATAAGTGCAGCGGTGAGTCTTACTATTTTACATAAGATGACCAGCAAGGCGTGTATTTGTTTCTTGTGGCTGCCATTATAAATAACCATAGACTTAGCAGCTTGAAAGAAACACCAATTTATTACTTTGCATTGCTGAAAGTCTGAAGTCTGGCTAAAGCCAGGGGTGGTCAGTGGGCAGTGGGCAGTGGGCAGGTTGCTTCCTCCTGGAGTGTCCGGGGAGGGTCCCCTTGCTTGCCTTTTCCAGCATCTAGAGGCCTCCTGGTTCCTGGCTCCCGGGCCCCTCCTTCTTCTGCAAAGCCAGTGAGGCTAAGCAAGGCTTTCTCACACCACAGACACCCTCCTACCTCTCTGTTCTCTGCTTTTTTTTTTTTTTTTTTTTTCTTTTGAGATATGCGTCTCACTCTGTCCCCCAGGCTGGAGCATAGTGGCGCCATCTCCCCTCACTGCAACCTCCACCTCCCGGGTTCAAGTGATTCTCCGGCCTCAGCCACCCAAGTAGCTGGGATTACAGGCGCTCACCACTACCACACCTTGCTAATTTTTGTATTTTTAGTAGACACGGGGTTTCACAATGTTGTCTGGGCTGGTCTTGAACTCCTGAACTCTGGTGATCTGCCCACCTCTGCCTCCCAAAGTGCTGGGATTACAGGCATGAGCCACCGCGCCTGACCTGTTCTCTGTAAAAGGAACCCTGTGATGGCACTGCACCGGCCCAGATAGTGCAGGCTCGTCTTCCTATTTTAAAGTCAGCTGATCGGCACCCCTGATCCCCTCTGCAGCCCGATGTTCTCTCTGCCCTGTGACCTCATGTCTTCACCAGTTCTGGGGAATTAGAGTGTGGCCCTCATCGCCTTGCCGACGAGCTGACAAAGAGCCAGAGGGAGAGAATTCTTGGCATCAAGCTAGAGAATGTGGGCAGACCTGACCCCTTTTCCAAAACTCGTGTGTGGCCTGACACTGAAGTAGAGCCTTAGCTAGGGATCGGGGAGATGGTTCCAATCATTTGTTTTCTATTGCTTGTGTTTCATTGGTCTAGTTTGTCTATAATTAGAGATTTGAGCATGTGGAGGGAATGGGGCCAGTGGAGTGAAAAATGTTGAATGTCTGAGAAACAGGAGACGTTTGATTTCATGACCTGGTACATGTCTAAAAGGTGTGTGTGGGCTGGGTGCTGTGGCTCATGCCTATAATCCCAGCATTTTGGGAGGCCAAGCCGGGAGGATCACTTGAGCTCAGGAGTTCAAAACCAGTCTGGGCAGCATGGCAAAACCCCTACCAAAGTTACAGAAAAAAATAACCAGGCATGGTGTTGAGGGTCTGTGGTTCCCAACTACTTGGGTGGCTGAGGCAGGAAGTTGGCTTGAGCCTGGGAGGTCGCAGTGAGCCGAGATCACACCACTTCACTGCACTCTGGGTGACAGAATAAGACCCTGTCTCAATACATATATACATACACACATATGTAAATTTAAAACTGAATAAATAAATAAAAGATGTGTGACTTGCTCCAGGGGAATCTAGCTATAGACAAGGAGAAAAGAAATCCACGGTTGCTGGGGGTGGCAAAACTGAAGCAGAAGTGGCGTAGTTCAGTGGCCCCGATGTTTTCCAGTCATCCCCAGGTTAATGTGGTTCTGAACAACGCACACCTAACAGCAAGGCCCATGTGGCCGTGGGGGATGATGTCGAGATGCTGCACACGCCCATGTGGCCGTGGGGGATGATGTCGAGATGCTGCACACGCCCATGTGGCCGTGGGGGATGATGTCGAGATGCTGCACACGCCCATGTGGCCATGGGGGATGATGTCGAGATGCTGCACACGCCCATGTGGCCGTGGGGGATGATGTCGAGATGCTGCACACGGAGCACGCGGCCCTCTCCAGCCCGGCTTTGCAGAAACCAGAGGCCCCAATATTAAGCCCTTTGAATTTCCCCGGGTAGTGGAGTTGACCGAGTGCAAACACAGGGCGACCTCTGCGAGCTCGCAGCACCAACACGGGACCCCAGCATGGGTTTGCTGCAGAGTCTAATTTTCCAATTAAACCTGCATCTGTGGGGAAAGAAGACGTGACTCCTACCAACTGCTTTTCTGAATATTTGGAGTTGCTGATTATTTGCTGTTTCTGATCCTTGTTTCATATTGCCCATCTCTTCATTGGTTACAAATAGTTGCTCACATTTCTAAAAAAGGAAGAATGGGAGGCCTATTGGTTCCTGAATACAAGGGCTAGAAAGGAGGGGATGAAACCTCCCCGGGAGCTGTCTGTTCCTTCCCATTTCTGTAAGCATTTTTCAAGTGAGGCTGTGGGTTTTTCCTCATCCTTGAGAGCAGAGACCTTCCCCTTCCTGGGTACATGGGTGGCCATGGCTTGTCCTTCCCCAGGTATTTTCTCAGCAGTCAGGCAGATAGGATTA